TCCCTTAAAATCCTCATTCATTCTCACCATGACTATAGATCTAAATGTTCTCCGCATGAGACTTCATCTTCTTGACGATATAGAAATTAGAAATTGCCCTAAAGAGGTGAATATTAAAATTGGTGCCGGCCTTCTTTCCGGTGAGGTTCTATTTTCCCACCTTCATCTTAACCTCCTTAGGTTCCCTCTGCATCCCTTCTTTAACTATGTTTTTAATAAACTGAAACTTTCCCCTTTGCAAGTGAACCCAAATTTCTTTAGGGTTTCGTCTGTTATGTTGCTTCTGAACCGTGACAGAAGTCTAGATCTGGACCTCGTAGATCTTCTCCTCTGTTACAAGGTTAGCAAAATCAGAACTGACGAACCGTTTTACCACTTCTATCCAATTGAGAAGAGGTCCATCTGCAAAGATAAAATCAAGTCTGAGAAGGGTTGGAGGAAAAATATAATTGAGGTTTGGGGAGCCTGGTTTTCTGCAGCCGCAGAGGATTTTCCTATCCCGAGCGCTTTTGGAGAGTGCTCTGTCTCTTCATATAAAAAATACAAAACCTATAAGAGTGACTATCCTTGCGAGATTTGCGTTCCTCGCTTTTGTACTTTCTTATGCCGTTCCTTAGGCATTCCTTGTGATGATTTGAGCTACGGTGTTTGCAGGGATAGGGATAACTATTTGAAACAGTACGTTCTGACCAACATTCCCTCTTGCTCGGATCTCCTTACCTCAGACAACCTTCTTGCTCTCTCAGCCCTCAACAAGAAAATGAGTCAGCTCCAGATCCCTTCCTTTGGCAGGAGGAAAGCTGCCCTTAGGATCGTTGTTGCCCCTGTAGCAACTTCTTCCCCAATTTCGGTATCTTCCTCTGCCACTATTTCTGATACCACTCCTACCACCGATTCGAACGTGACGACTGCCAACCTGATCTCCAGCACTGCAACAGTAAGTCCGAACGTGATCCCTTCTGTCAACAACCTTCCCAGCACTGCTACTGCTACCGCACGGGAAAAGACAAGAGGAAAAAGGCATCAGCCTGAGAGTGCTCTTAGCCCTGATGATGTTCATCTGTCACAAAGGGTTAGACCTTCTAGGCCGAGTGCGTTCGTGCAACCTCTAACCAGGCCTCCTCTGACTAGGCCTCCTACCCCCTCTGGGCAGGCCTTTGCCTCTGGAACGACACCATGGAACCCTCGTTTCATTCGAACAGACGGATCGTCTGTAAAGCCGAACGAGACCATGTTCAAAGATGGCCAGACCGCTATGGCATACTATAGGAGCATGTGGACTCCTAAGGATATTGAGGTAGCCAAGGGTCTATCTCAGAAGGAAATGTTCAGATGGTTCCCCTTATCTGCCATAGAGGTAACTTTTGTCTCTCGGTCAATGAATCTTTACACAGTCTTTACATTTGATTTTTTCTAACCATCTGCTCGGCTTAATCAGTTGTCATGTATATCTTTACAGACCCTGTACGGGATGATAGCCATGCAGAAGCAGGTTGAGCTAGTGAATGCCAAGGTTTGTATGCTCTCTGACAACCTTAGTACAGCGAACAAGGAGAACGATACCTTAGGTGCTCAGAATACCGGGCTGATGGTTCAGCTCAACAAAGTTGAAAAGGATAGGGACTCTTTAAAGAAGGAAACGGACTCTCTTCAGGACGAAAGAAACGCTCTACATCTTGAGAAGAGTGTCTGGCATACCGAGCGAGAATCCCTTAAGGCTGAAAAAGAAGAACTTCTACGCCTTCTGAGTGATGAGCAATCCGTTCGGATGGCCTTTGAGAAAAGGGCTCTAGACGAGCGCAATGCTTTACTCGACACTATCAGTAGGGTAAATGGTGGTATGCTAGCTCTGCACGCTCAGTTTTCCAAGGTTGGGGCCCTTAGATATGCGCAGGGGTTCCGAGAGGGTTATGCCGATCGTGTTCCAAATGAAGGTCAGACCGGTTCTACCCCTGATGAGGTTGATAGAGAGCTGGAGATTGATCCTCCAGGTGTTTATGCCGACCCAGACTCCACCCCCGCTGAGGGCATATTTGATGAGTGCCAAGAGATCGCCTCTTCCAGGATTACTCCTACTCCTTCTACTGCTCAGCCTCTGGACGTTCTTCCTCTGTCCACCGTGACTCCATCCGGCGACGCAGGACAGAGAGGTGGTGGGCGTCGGAGGAGAGGGCTTCAGATGGGGAAGGAAGTAGGTTTATGTGGAGGAATGGGCTTCGGATGGGGAAGGATTGGTAGCATCAGTGGTGTTTGGGTGCTGCGGGATTATGTGGATGCTAGGAGGAGAGAGAAAATGGAGAACAGAGACTCGGAGAGAGACAGAGAGTAGGGAAAGACGAGACAACAAATCTAATTTTTTTTTTTTTGGTTTTTTTTTGGTTTATGAAAATAGCAATGGCAACTCTCAAAACGACGTAGTTTTTAAAAAGGGTAAAATAGTCTTTTAATATTTTTGGCCAAGTCACTAACGGAATGCAACAAAATAATAATTTAGGGAATTTTTTTTGTAATAAAATCATAGTTCAGAGAGTTTTTATAATTCAGGGTTAGTTGCAAAATCCCAATAATTTAAGGTTTTTTTTTTTTTACATTTTACCCTTTTAAGTGATGGTACAAATGACTTTTTACACAAGTTTAAATGAATAAAAATGTCTTCTCTAGTGATGGTAGAATGTATATTTTTCAGCTTGATTGAGTGTGACATCAGTGTTTACCGTCTTGGACGATAACAAAGACTAACTATAAGGGGTGAATTTGTTTTACTAGAGAAGAGGTGAGTGTAATTATCTAAATTAGAGGAATTTTTTTTTATTATTTGCCCAATCTACAGGGAAAATAAGTATAATTTACCAAAAAAATAAATGGTGCGATAATGGGTATATTTATTTTGTAAAAAAGATAAACGAAGTATTATCTTTAGTAGATAAAAAAAATACTAAAAATTCAGTTTTATGTTTGATGATTGTTACATTATATTCCAAAATTTCCAAATGTCAATTGATATTTTTTGTATATACTTTGCAAATATTACGCTTTCAGCTAAATTTTATTATGCATGTAAATATATCATTTACAAATTTTAAAACATGAATGATAACAAATTTATCCAAAATTTTACTTGTAAGGTGAATTTCATCCAAATAGATGTACCGGAACAAACACTGAAATTTTTAAGGATTATAAAATATTATGAAGACATCTAAGAAACCATTTTAACACACGCTCGAGATAGATTGTTTGTTTAGGTTTCATCTGGGAAAAAAAAGAACAAAATTGACTAAGAATAGTTTGGAAGAAATTAGAAAATTTTGAATTCGAAGTTCCATTAAAGATATTTGGACTTATTTTTTGTTAATCTAGCTAAAAAGTTGTCTAAAATATGCTCTTAAGAGAGTTTTTTTTTTTTTTTGGAAGTTAAAGCAATTACGCACACACCCTACCTCCACTGAAATTCAGACCCTCGACCTCCCCTTAAAGGGGAGAAAGGGGTGACATCACTGGGCATTTGGTCCTTTGGTTATCCCATATTAGATGTTCCTTTTAAAAGAGTTTTCTCATGACAGGAGTCATGAGCTCGCCATCAGAAACGAAGTCAGAAATTTGGTTAAGTGTGGCATATTAAGCCTGATTAAATTTTTTTTTCCCGTAAGTGAATCAAAAATAAATGAGAAGAGAAAAAAAAGAAGGTTGCTGCACATAAATTATGCATGAGTGCAGAAAAATGAGTGAGAACTTTGAAGGAAAAAATATGTTTTAATTGTAGAAAGAGAATGCTTAAGTTTTTGAGACAACAAAAAAAAAAAAAATTGAAGAATAAAAAGGAAAAAAATTAAAGTGGTTTTTAGAAATAAATAATTTTATGAGGTAATTTATAAATAATAGGGGGGAATTTTATAAATATTTACAAAATATATGTATAGAATAAAATAAAATTTAACGGACTCATGAACCTAAGGGTGAAGGGATTATTTTATCAAACTTTAGGGAGGGCATTAATCAATTTTTACAAACTATAGGCATAAAAGAAAAAACAAATTCTAGTGGGCCAGCATTGAAAGGGGGACAGCTGCCCCATGGGGCCACATGCTGGCTCCGCCTTGCTGGCCATCTATAATCATTACGTAGTAGATTGAAAGACCAATTAAATATATGATTCATTTGATTTTTTACTTAATTTAAATTAAAAAACTGTGGTTAAATATGAAGAATTTGTGACTTGAGGGGGAACCTTAATCAATATTCAATAAAAAAATGGAAAAACAGTTTTGAAAATTGAGCCAAATATTCAGAACTTGGAAATAATAAATTCCCCAAATTTGACTCAAAGAAAAGGGAAATAAAAATAAAATAAGACTTAAATCGCTGTGCTAAACATGCATTTGCATAACATAGAAAATGACCAATTTTTAGGGGAATCCATATTTAACGCCCATTCAAATTAATCTCATAATAATAACATGGGGAACGAGACCTAAAAATATTAAATGTACTACTATATATATATATATGAATGTATATAATAACTTCAGTATACAACAATATGCACTATGGTTTTTTTTTTTTTTATTTCTTTTATTTTATTTTTTTATTTTTTTTTCGGTATATACACTTTCGTCACTGCACTAAAAAAAATGGAAGTGCCATTGTGTTGTACATGCCAATGGAGTGTGCCATCAAATGTACCTATGAGTGCCATCAAATGTGGGCTGCGGCCCATCTCCATCATAAATTGTTGGAAAATAAAAAATTGTGAGGGTGGTGTATATGATGACCCTTTGAAGAGACGGAGCATTAAGCCTTGGATGGGAATTAAAGAACGTGACTTTTATTTGTTAATATTACGAATAAGAGTATATAATTAAAAACCAATAAGTATTAGATTAATGGGCTCTCTTTTTTCGGCAAATTAATAAGTATTAGATTAATTTCGTTTAATCCCTTTCAACGCTTTGATCTTTCCCATGGGGTGAATCGTGTGATAGAGATATATTATATTATTATATGTTATATATATATAGAGAGAGAGAGAGAACAAAAACCCCATTTGTGATTTGGGGGTCTACAAGATCTGCGTTTTTCCGTAGTGTTTGGACTTTGGAGTCATCTGGCGTGATAGAGAAACAGTTGTGAGGACAACCCAGAAGCTAGCAAGCAACCATGGATTTCATCAGTCAGTTGCAGGGACAGTTTGTTGATTTTTCGAGGACTCTGTATCATGAGGTCAATATTGTCCACAAAGATTTAAATGATCTTCATATGGGTTTGTTTGTTTTGGGTTCTCTTACTGATTTCCGTGCTTTGATTTTGTTTGTTTGAGGTTTTCTGATGATTAGTTTTTGTTGGTTGTGTGAAGGGTTTTTTGGATGAACAATTTTTGCAACTCCAGAAACTGCAAGATGAGAGCAACCCAGATTTTGTTGTCGAAGTGGTGTCTCTCTTCTTTGAAGATTCTGAAAAGCTTCTCAACAATTTGGCCAATGCTCTGTAAGATTATTGTCTCCATCTTCATTGTTTTTGGATTCTCTTTCTTAAATTTATTGTCCTGTGCGGTTAATTTTGGATATATCATGTATAGAGTTACTGGGTTGTTCTTCAATTGTACAGACAACAACAGGTTGTAGATTTTAAACAAGTTGATGCCCATGTCCACCAGTTCAAGGGCAGTAGTTCCAGGTACTTATTTATTTATGTATTTAGTATTTACTGATTTTTTACTCTTGAATTTTCTTTCTCTGAACCAAAAATACCTGATTTGATACTTTGATCCGTGTTCCTAGAGTACTTGTCAATGTTAATCACCCATGAAATTGTTGTAAAAATTCATGTTATTGTTTGTGGGATATATATCCAGATCTGAATGAGGGTTAATTTAGCATTAGATTATATTGCGGCGAAGTTGTATTGGCCAATGGTTCTTTTGTGGGTGTTAGCTCAGCTTTTGTGTTTCTGTGGTTAACAGCATAGGTGCCCAGAGAGTGAAAAATGTGTGCGTCGGCTTCAGGAATTTCTGCGAGGAAAAAAACATTGAAGGGTGAGTTTTGCTTAGAACTCATATGACATATCTCTTTGTTCCATTACCACGTGCAATAAATGGAAATTGTGCAAAATGTGCTACTATTTATCAAAAGAATCATGCACAAATTTATGAATGGAAAACTAGTTTAGGAAAACTTGATATCATAGTCATGTATGATGCGTTTTTACATTGATCGCTGCCTCATTCTCACCATAATTTTGAATGATGCATATGTCCTTGGAGTAGGCCTTGGTTGGTATGAACTCAGCATGTCATCATATTTTATCCAAATTTAGCGTTGAGACTTGAGAGTTGGACTACCTTAAGATGATTATTGCGGTGTATGACACTACCATTAATCTTGATTCAAGCATGATGAGTGATGGTCCTGCTAGAATGAAGTCATACGCACGACATGACAAATTTATATGGTCGTTAAGCTCAACAATGTCTTGATGAACAGTCATTTGAAGTTTGTGACTTCTGATACATAAATGAATTTCATGCTTGATATAATAGTTTTGGAAGTAGAATGTCATCCTATTTTTTAAGGAAAAAAATATTTTACCTTCCATTTAGGGTTTTAGATGGTTAACAAATTTTTCAATGCCAAGCATTTTAGCCTTCTGAATGAAGGCAAAAGTTTTTCCAACATTTAGTAGCAAGGTTTTTCTAAAGTGGTATCAGGTTCATACTCATATAAACGTCAAAGATTGACAGTAGTGAGCTCTTAAAATTTATTTGATTATTGTCATTGTGGGAATGGACTATTAATTAGCTAATTTTTTTGATAAAAAGATAACTTTTAGTCTGTTTTTCTGTGGGTTTGTTCAAAATATTCATATTGATTCAAAAATATGTTGAAGTAAACCTAGTGTATAATCCACTCTTTCTACTAATGTGGTCATAAGTTGCCCTTACTACTAATGTGGTCACAGCATTTCCCATCCAATTGTATGAGCTATGATGTCATATGTGACTCCACCTAGTGTGGTTTTGTGGTATTCTATTCTACATTAATCTAACCACGGTAAAATTGTCATGATTGTAATGGTCACACCATATTGTGATGCTTGATGGCTAGATAATTTTTGCTGCAGGTGTGTGAAATGCCTGCAACAACTAAAAAATGAATACTGTCAACTGAAGACCAGGCTCGAAACTCTGTTCAGGGTAAGTTTCATGGTCTGACTTTTATAACCCCTTATTCTATTGGGATCCTTTAGATACACCAACAGGATCTGCCCGCTGAACTACATATATTTCTGTTCAAAGATAGGCCTGTCATTCTCTGGCCTTTTAGAACCCTACTTTTTGTTTGAGCATCCGATATATATCTCGTGGAACAGATATGTCAAAGGAGCATTTCTTTTGTTTTTCGTGTTTTTTCTCCTTGGTTACTCAAGACATCTGTGTTTATTCAAATTCCATTGTCCGTTGAGCAATAGAACATTAGCCTTTTTGTCTAACCTTCTCTCTCTCTCTGTGTTTATTGTAGCTGGAGCAACAAATCTCAGCAGCTGGAGGGTCAGTTCCTATGGCATAAAAAGTACTAGTTTCATTACCTACTTACCAAAGTAAAGAAATTTGTGAAGGGTTTATGTTACGAACTTCTATTTTTGTAGTCAATCAAGCTGCTGTTGAGTTGCGAGTACTGTTAGTTGTAGATCTAAAGCTTGTAAGAAAATAGAGAAGTGGTGTGAACAAACGTTTGTACCTCTTATGCTCCATCATTACTCATTTTCGACATTGAAAGCATATAATTTTATTTGCTGTTCTATAATTTGATTTTTGGACATTTCTTTTAATTTGTTCAGGAGGGATAGCTTTCTTCCTTTGTGTTCATAGGGGGGAATTTTTTCATGGTCTCAATACAGGATGTCGGGTATTACTTTGTAGTCTAGTTAGTAAAACGCCCAGTTTTCCGTGCGTGTATGTCCATGTTCAAGTCCCTCTCTCCCTAGTTTGCCAGGGAAAATACATATATACACACAGCATGGTCTGGTTACGTGACTTGAGGTTCAACCAGAGCACCAAGAAATAGCACATGCCCACAATTCGGAGATGCTTACTCAAAACCTGCACCATTATCACATACATACATCAACCATTGCAAGGCATCAAAGGGCCTTGAGATTTTCGGCCCAATAACTCGGCGCACGGTATCGGTATGTATAGCACCACTTTTACTACTTCCCTACTTTCACCTTCACATTAAAAGGTGAGCGTAAACTTTTACACGAATCCAACCCGAGTCCAAACTCATTTTTACAATTACAGGGCTTGGGTTGAAAAATACTTGTGATTTAAATTATTAATGCAATACTTTTATAATCGACAATGCAATCATTACGTATTGATGGTAACTTGATAGTTAGGTCACTTGAAACAGTTCTAACTTACAAACATGGTTTGTTATATCGGCTGATACGCGATGTACCAGTCTATTCGTAACTATTTTTTAAAGATTCTATATTATTATATACCTTCAAGAACCAATTTACACGCAACTATGAAACGTACTTGCAAGCGTTAAATTGATGCAGTAACATGGTGGGTCAGTCAATTTAGTAGATGAATAGACAAATGCACAGGTAACATGTAGGAGAAGTACTCAAAATAGAATGTACCAAAAAAGAAGGGACTCCTTGGTTGGATGAAAGAGACAGCACAGCAGAGCTACATAAATACATAATACATTCATATTCATTCTCACCGTAGAAGTAGAAATGCCAATACAATCCAAAATACTGAGCTCTAGCCATTGCCGTAGCCATAATGGTGACCCATTCAATCGCACATGCCAAATGATGAGTAGTAGGTATTTGGGTTGTTGAGATTGGTGCAATCTACACACATTTCCATGCAATTCATCTCCACGTGGGCCCTTTTATATAGGATGAAGCTGTTATGGTGGTGGTGGTGGTGGTGGTGGTATGGGAGGAATTTTGAAAATTGGGTTGACGAGACTGTGGGAAGCGATGGTTGGAAGAATATCATTTATGCTTTGAAGTATTTTTAAGTTTGACATCATGCAATGAACGTTTTACATTAATGCAATGAACGTTTTACATTTTACAGTATAAACAATAATAATAATAATAATAAAATTTAACAAATCAATACAGGAATGCTGGCGGTGATTCGTATGAGAGAATGATGGTGCTGATGGTGTTAGAGAAATTTTGAGATCGAATTGGATTAGGGAGATCGTCTGAAGAGATGGTCGGAGGAATATAATTTATAATTTGAAATATTTTTAAGTTTGGACATCATGCAGTAAACATTTTATATTAACGTATCAAACGTTTTACATTAGTGCGGTGAATGTTTTACATTCTACAATATTGTATTTTAAAAAAAAAATCAATATAGGTGATACATTTTACATTAATGCGGTGAATATTTTACCTTCTCCAATATTGAAATTTTTTTAAAAAAATCAATTTTGACTCAAAGGATGGAAATTGATGGTTTGGTAATTACTTTTACCTAAGTTGTTTGAGTATTGCTATTTTCAACAGACAAATTTTACCTAATTTAGACCTGACGGATGATGTGGCGATATATTAGTTTAGTTTTTGTAACAAATTGAAAACCTAATATTTTGAGGATAAAAATACCCTCAAGTACCCCTTTCCCTCTCTAGCATTGTTCATCTTTCCTTTTTATGTCTAAATCGATAATGGTAATGCTGAAGATATATGATGAATATAAGATGTTGCTCTAATGAAGTTTCCTTATTACTGCCACCATCATGATGTGTACAGTCTTTCCTGTGATTATAATATTTCTCATATATATATATATATATATATATATATATATATCACCGTATCGAAACGTTGGAGTAGAAAAATAGGCTATTGGCATAGTTGTTTGAAAAAATATTTTATAAATATTAGAATTTCAAAAAATATATATAAAGAGGATTAACATACACAAAAAAAAAAGATGTAGAAGATAAAGAAGGAAATTAATTAATCATATAGAGAGAAAAAGGTGAAGTCGACCTTGAAGAAAATGACTAAAAGAGTATTTTTGTTTTAAAAAAACTTACTGTATTTAATATGTAATCGGCATTTTGTAGGGGTTTTTTTTGTCGCCAAAAATATCATTTTCCAAGTTGTTTTATGTGACGTTATTTTTAACAAGTAGTATTTAAATTGGTAATTATAGTTTCCTAAGTTGTTTTAAATTAAATTAACCCATTAAAAATCAATCAAAACACAATTAAATTAATTTTAGTGAATCCTCAAAGGACAATACTTGTCTATTCGTGAATAAATGATCTCTATTCACAACTAATTTGATTCAATCACAAATACACATATTATTTATAATTTTAAATCAAAAAAGTAATATATAAGAAAATTACATAATATTTTTCTTATTTGTTTCTGTCTTTGTACGTGTACATTTATAATTAGAGCATACCAACAAGAAGCCCAATAAATTTCCCTCAAACATTTCACCTCCACCCACAGCCGCTTTAAAGTATCTTTCTTCTGTGTTGTTCAATAACAAATAAATGAGACGTATCATTTTTGCTCACGTGGCGTTGACTGATTACGTGGCAAGTCAATACGATCGGTGAAATTGATTTTTCGCCTCAGTCTAAACACCCCAAAACAAATAAAAATCCACGGTTTTGCATGTTTGCTTGTTATCTGGGCAGCAAAGCAACCGTATGATCACGTGGTGGCAGCAAGCAACCGTATGGTCACGTGGTCCTCGTCCGATTAACCTCAAGGCCCGAATATAATGAGCTGGCAACCTCAACCTCAGCTTCGTCCTTCCACGTAGACTCGAAATGCCGTTTAATCTCCCGAACCTAATCCCGATAAAGAAACAAAAACTTTTATTAGTAGTATTAATCAAAATTAAAAACAAAAATACAAGTACTACTAATTGAAATATATCAAACGAGCACTCCATCGACTCCATGTAGTTGCAGAGAAGAGAGAGAGTAACAGAAGCGTCCAGAAGAAGAAGAACAAAGATCAACGAAAGTGTTGTTGCTTCCAGCACAAGCGTCGTCACTTTTTCTCTCTAGAACAACACACTTTCTCTCACTATATATATATATATTATATATTGTATTTCTCTTGAACTTGCTTTCTCCATTAAAGCATTCACGCCCATTTCCACGAGAAATCTGTATTTCGGTTCCTCTCACGGAAAAGCACCGCAAAAAGCTCAATCTCTCTCTCCTATATAAACCCACCCTATATTAATCTCAATTTCCAATTACACTTGTATTGGATGATACACTGATGATGAAGAAGGTGTTCAGAGACAGAGCAATGTCAATGTGGCTATTAGGTTTGATTCATTTGCTCTCTCTTCTCCATTGTAGTTTATTCACATTCGCTATATTGGACCCTCTCGATTTCTTGGCATTGCAATCCATTAAAAAAGCCCTAGACGACTTGCCTGGCTCCAACTACCTCTCGTCGTGGGACTTCACGTCCGACCCCTGTAACTTCGCCGGAGTCTATTGCGACGGCGACAAGGTGATCGCGTTGAATCTCGGTGATCCGAGGGCCGGTGCTCCTGGTCTGACAGGCAGGCTCGATCCCGCCATCGGTAAACTCTCCGCTCTCGCCGAATTCACCGTCGTACCAGGTCGCATCTTCGGTGCTCTGCCCTCGACTTTCTCTCAACTGAAAAACCTCCGGTTTCTAGCCGTAAGCCGGAATTTTATCTCCGGCGATATTCCGGCAACTCTAGGTGAGCTTCGGGGACTGCAAACTCTCGACCTCAGCTACAATCAGTTCACCGGAAGTATTCCGTGGTCGATCGGAAGTATGCCTGCGTTGTCCAACGTCATTCTCTGTCACAATCGTCTCTCCGGTTCCGTCCCTCTGTTTGTGTCCAAAACCTTAACCCGGCTCGACCTCAAGCACAACGATCTCTCCGGTGCTTTCTCGCCGACTTCACTCCCTCCTTCGCTTCAATACCTTTCTCTCTCCTGGAACCGGTTCAGTGGTCCAGTGGACCGGCTCCTAACCCGGCTCAACCGGTTGAACTACCTAGACCTAAGCTTGAATCGGTTCACCGGCAAAATTCCGAACAGCGTGTTCTCCTTTCCGATCACAAACCTTCAGTTACAGAGAAATTTGTTTTCCGGTCTGGTGGAACCGGCTGATCAGGTGACGATCACAACCGTTGATCTAAGCTACAACAGGCTGTCCGGTCAAATATCGCCAAAGTTGTCGACCGTACATAATCTTTACCTGAATAGTAACCGGTTCACGGGTCAGGTACCGGGAAGTTTCGTGGACCGGTTATTGGACGCTAATATACAGACTCTATATCTACAGCATAACTTTCTTACGGGGATCGAGATCAATCCGGCGGCTGAGATTCCTCCAAGCAGTTCGTTGTGTTTACAGTACAATTGCTTGGTCCCACCAATACAGACTGCGTGTCCACTGAGGGATGGAAACCAGAAGACAAGGCCTACTTCGCAGTGCATGAAATGGAAGGGGTAAAATGGGAAATTCATGCTACATCAAGGGCACCATACGAAGCAAAAAGATAAATATGGTGGAGGGTTTTTTTGTCTGAGGTTCTTGGATTCATTTATTTATTTTTTAGTGATAATGTGTAAAAGTCACAAATGAAATGATTGTTGGTGCATATTTTGATGTGTAATGAAGTAATTTTTGGGTGGTTTATATTTTCTAGCGCAAGTCCCAAAAAGTGAAATAAAATGTTACTTGTATACTGTAGTATACGTTTGCTGTTTATACAAGCATTACAAAAACTTCAAGAATTAATGGCTTATGTGTTTCTTTGGTTTTTACTTTAAGAGTGCCTCTAGGGATATAGCGGTGTTAGTAGGGATCCGGAGATAAGTCTTTGAGATTTTATTTTCAAATCACACTTTCAACTTAAATAATGTGTATGTTATGAAGCCAATATATCAAAAATAAATAAATAGGGGTATGCGATGTTTGTAGAGATCCGAAGATAAATCTTTGAAATCTTATTTTCAAATCGCACTTTTAATTCAAATAGTGTATATGTTATGAGGTTGATATACCAAAATTTTTTAAAAAAAAGTAAAATAAAATGTTACTCGTATAATATAGTATAGGTTTGCTGTTTATATAAGCATCACAAAAACTTCAAGAATTAATGGCTTATGTGTTTCTTTGGTTTTTACTTTAAGAGTGCCTCTAGGGATATAGCGGTGTTAGTAGGGATCCGGAGATAAGTCTTTGAGATTTTATTTTCAAATCACACTTTCAACTTAAATAATGTGTATGTTATGAAGCCAATATATCAAAAATAAATAAATAGGGGTATGAGTTATTTTATAAATTCATCATTTATTTCATCCACATGAAACAATGATTGTGAGTTCTTTTCTTGTTCCCAATTCACTAGTAGGCATTAAAGAATTGGTTTATAAATGTGATACACTTGATTGAAATTTTTTTTTTTTTTTCTGTAATCTTTTCTTTTTAATTGGTATTATATATTATATTTGAAAATTAAGAAAAATAAAAGGACATTATATAGTATGATCTTCATTAGTCAAGGAGTGTTAAGAGGGTGCCAAAAGAATAGACTTGACATACAAGACATAACGTCAATTGGCACTTCGTATTATTTGTCTTCGTATTCAAATTTACATATATTACCACTTTAGTAAATAAAATTGCACGATCAAGTTAGAGCTAGTCCAGTGCAAGATGTTCTTGTCATTGCAAAATGGCATTGGTGATGGGCTAAGGCTTTGTTTGTCTTGTGCAATATAATCGTTTTAAAATCCAAATTGCATGATCCATAAAAACCAAATGATGTCCCTTCTACTAATTGTCATTTGTAAATTAATTCTGATAAAGGTTGAATTCAATCTCAAGTATTGTTTCTACAAAAATTGCTAACAGTAACAGCCTGGCTCTTTTGTACAAGTCTTTTTCATTATCACGATCATGTGCAGAACAACCACCGATCGTATATTAATCTTGGGACCATCTAAAATAGTGTGTGACTATCACTCGTCACAAACTTGGACATTTATTTACTCTTCCATGCCAAATCATGTGTTTAAACCTAACCAATTCTATATCTTTGAAAATAACACTTGCGTAAATAATAAGAAAGTCACAAATGACACTCACTCTTCTTCTGATATACACACACACACATATATATATACACACACACATACACATAAGGACATTAGAGTTTTGATGATGGGGGTTGGAGGGAATGAAGTTGGGGGCACATGCATGGACTACTACTGCAACAACAACAACAGGTCCAACCAATAGGTTCAAGACACTTTGTTTGTACTCACTGTTTTAACTTTCATAATGGAGTAGTTGCCTAGTTGGGGTATTCTTCTTGGCACCTGCCAATGTCTGGAATTTAAAATTTAAGACTTACCCTAAATTTTCTTCTTAAAAAAGTATTTTTTATTTTATTTTATTTAAAAATTTTGTTATAAAACTTTAACTGTGTTTGAGGTTCACATTGTGTGCTACTTAGTGTAATGAATTTTTTTTTTTTAGAGGTGATGATGTAAACACTCGCCGTTTAGTTGATAATTAACTTGATAAATAACGTTTGATTTTTCCTTTTGATAAAGTTTAAAGTCATATGTAAATTAGAACGACGGTTCAAATACTCGCACCTCAAACAATTCCTCTTCTGTATTCTGAATTCATACAAATTATTTTCACAAGAGTGTCATTGCACAGAATTTAAATGAATATGAGAATACATGAAATGTAATTATGATATGTGATGATGAGGTGAAATATTTTTTCCACAATTAGGGGCATTATGATTCTATGTGTAGGATTTACTTCTCATAAATTTTTGTGAACCCACAGAAGTGGTGGCCCTCATTGATTGTGTTCCTCCATCATAACAAATTAAGGGACCCTTTATTATTCTATGTTTAATAATTAACATCTTCTTTCCAGGGCTCAATATTTTTCTCTCTTCACGTGTATGGATGTGGACTACTTTTCCTTTTAGGTAAATAAGATAATGTAGAGTTGTTGAAAGAGTTGAATTGCTAATTGAATGTGGATTGTTTAGAGAATTAAGCAACTGCTACGTGGTTGAGCGAATATATTAATGTCTAAATAATTTGTCTGTAGCTTGGTCATAGCCTTTTTGTACATGAATGCTCCTTTTGGTTGGAGTAATAAAAAAATAGAGGAAGGGTAGAGATGGATGAGAGATTTTTTTTATTATTATTATTATTTTTTGTTGGAATTCAAAAGAAGAGAGATTTTATATATATTTTTACTAATATACCCTCGTTATATAAAAATTATAAAAAAGAAATGTTCTTTATAGAAAGGATAAAATTGGTGTTATATAGATTTGGGTAGTTACTCTTTCTTCCCCTCCTCTCTTCCACTCAAATTTGAACCCATAAAAAAACTTAAAACAATGAGAGATGAAGCATTGTTTCCTCCGTCTCTTCTCTTCATTTCAACCAAAAATGATAAGCCTTATCCATCCCTCGTCAATGTATCCCTCCAATCAAACATGACATAATACTAATTGTATAAAACGTGTAATTACAACTAAAATACAAATTGGATCCAAAAATTTATATATAAAAACAAAAGACGCATCAAAACTATGAGTTGTAATAGCTAATCTACCAATTGGCCACATCCAACTAAATTAACTAAGCATGTAACTCCTCATTTGGGTGTCGGGGCAACCATATGTGTATTGACTTTTTCCTCATCTGTATTATTATTATTATTTTTATTTTTAACCTTCCTCATCCGTATTCGAGTTGGGTTCGGTAGTGAAAAGAGGGAAAATCGTGATCTGATGTACATATCATGAGATTAACTCTCCCCAACTTTTGCATTGATAAATATTTAATGGTTGAGGATGTACTTTCAAAATAAGAATGACGTGATAATAACTAAACTAACCAGCATGTAGCAGAAATTATTCATAGCACAAAATTAACCACCAACTTATTACAGTTTCAAGCAAATGAAATCCTTGAAGATTGTTATAAGGTGATGCCTATAAGGAAGGCTTTAAGGCCAAAAAGGAATTTAGAACCTCACATTTCAAATCATCTGTAAGAGGGCTTTGATTGTGTATCTTTCATGGTTTTATTATCTATATATATATATATATGTTTAAATCAACTAACATTAGAGGGAGATCATAAAGAGCATATGCAAATGGAGAGAAAAAAGTATAAATGGGTTTGATTGGAACAAATGAACGCAAAAGCCATTTTATAAAAAAGATGGGTTATCAGTTATCACGGCTATATTAGAGGCTATTTTTGAAATTAATAAAAAAATATCAAACATGTGCATCACATTACAGACAGAAAGTGATCGGAGATGAATGCAAGGGGCATTGGGCAAGTTTTTTTATTTTTATTTTTATTTTTTTTAAAGGTAAAATGTTAATTGTATAAATAAAATAGTATGTACATTGGTAAGTTGCTCGCTTTTGAAACTATAGGGTCCCTTTGATTAGATGGAAAATTATGATGGAAAGTGAAAGTGAAAGAAAGTGAAGTAAAGGAAAGAAAAATCAAGTTTGAAAAATCAAGTTTTCATCATACATTTGGTTAGCAAGAATTTTTTTGAAGAAAATTATGAGAAAATATTATTTTATTAGTTTGGATGGCAAGAAAAGGAAAAAAAAAAAAAAAAAAAATTTTACTCACCAAAATACCCTTCTAATTTTTAATACTTATAAAATAAATAAATTTATGTTATATGAATATCCTTTATACTTAATGGTTTATTTTAGTAAATAAATAGTAAAATATGAATTATTAATTAATTATTTATTTTTATTTGTTGGTTGTGATTTCAAGTTCAATATTATGAACCGAGGACTCTCATACGTAGGTTATCGTCTTTGTTTAATATTAATTTATAAGTTGAGAAATGGTTGAGTGTTTGATTTTAGAGAATGTCGTTCACTGAAGATAGAGTTTTGATCTAACGAAAACATAACATGTGAACAATAACATACTCTAACTTGGGGTAGAATAGGAAACTAACATATAAAGAACTGCTTTCGCGATAAAGTATAATTTTCTTGTGTTTTATGCGAAGAACGTTTGGAAAAAATTCCATAAGATGAGAGAATCATATTTCACTTAAAAAAATCCCTGTGTTTTATTCGAAAAACGTTTGGAAGAAAATCCATAAGATGCGGGGATCTTATTTCAGTAAAAAATTTCATTTGTCTAACAAAACTCGCAAAAGAATTAAAAAAAATTCTTTTCTTTTCCTTTCTCATTTTTTTTTTGATAAGTTTTTCTTTTCCTTTCTCATTAGTTCACCACACTAACCAAACGTAGCCATAGGGATTGGCTTGCTGTGCTTATTTAGTGAAACCTCAAAGTTGTTTGTTTTTTTATGTTTTGTTTTGTATTTTTTTTTTTTTTTTTTTTTTGCACTTTTGCCCACTTATTATTATTTAAAAACATGAGAACTTGTGATCTAGTTTGAGAACAACGGATTGTCGAAAGGTTAAATTTATGCATGTTTTTCTGCTCACAAGAGCATCGATAAACAAGGACCACACATAATGCTTCTCTTTACCATCTTGTAAGTGAAACCATGTCAAAGTGGTATTAAATTTATTCAACCATCAATACCTTTTTTTGTAAATTTTTTTTTCTTCCAAATCATTTTCTACATTTTACATTTTAAACCTGATTTTAATTCACTTTTTTCAATAACCACTTCCCAATTTTTTTATTTTTTCTTTAATTTAAAAGTTTTAGACCATCCAAATGCAACATAAACCCAATCCATATAAAATGTAATCCCATCACCCTTTTAAAAATAAATTAAACTAAGCCCACACCAAGGCCCATATTCTGAAGCCCACCTATACACACACACTAACCACAGAACATCTCAAATGAACCATAAAAACATCTCTCCCCTGTCCATTTCCAGTCTCAATCACATTAGTGGCCACCATCACAGCAGCGGAAAAAGCTTGCGTTGTCTGTCTCATTTACTGGTATTTCTCTCTCTCACCTGGTCTCACTTCTCTGTTATCTTGATACTGGCATGAATCATGATTGATTGAAATAGGTAGTGTGAAAGTTTGAAGATGTAACATTGAGAGAAGATTGATATGAAAATCAAGATCGGTGGGTATATACACTCATATATTCATATATTGCAGATCGGATTTTTTTTTCTTTTTTGTATGACAAGAACAACCGAGCTCGATCATGTGCAGTCAAAGCTCGATTGAGCTCGAGCACCCCTTTAACTGTGACGAGCCGAGGCCGAACACTCCGAATCTCGGCTCGTTTACAGCCTATCAGCATACGTACATAATTGATCTACAATCTTCTTTTGATTTTTTTTTAAATTTTTTTAATTTTTTTTTTTTCCAATTGCATATTTAGATTAGACACACATTTATCTTTTTGTTTTTGTGTATATTTTCTGGTTTTGTTTGTTGGTGGTTTTGTGGTCAACATTAAGGTTCTGCTTGTTTCCTTTATTTCAGGTTATATGATATTTTAAAGAATTAATGCATTTTACATGGTTTTGCAGACCTTGAAGAAGAATTTTTGCATTTTTAGCCAAACCCACCCTGTTGCCACCCCTAGTCCCGTTCTCCTTCAGATACTGTTCCATATATTAAAGTTTTAGCTAACAAAAACCAATCAAAGAGTACTCAAGCAATATGCCTCCTCGGTCCTCAGGTAGTTAATTTCATCACTATTCTTGCTCTTTTTTCCCCCTTTAACTGGCGTTTGAAGTGTTTATATTTCCCATTTTATGTACCATTTGAAATCATTTTGAGAAATATTCTTCTTCCCCCCCCCCCCCCCTCCCCCGCTCTTCAAATTTTAGGTTTCGTCGTTGGGAAGTTATAAAGCTCACTGAAACGAGTGGATTCGGAAAAATATAGGTATGTTTTCCGGAATGTTATTTTGTTAATTAAGGATGTTGCATTGTATTTGTTGTCTTCTTCATGTATTTGAAAATATTCGGAGCATCATTTAATTAATTAATTAATCAAGCCTTTTTAAAAATAAAAAAAAAATTGTTTGGACAAATTAAACTACGAACCTTGCGTGAAAAAGTTTTGAATCATACTTTTCAATCGTCGCAAGTATCATATGTGTTTGATTTGTAACCTGTCCATTCAACCAAAACTACAAACAGTATAAGCATGTAGCATTGTGGACAAACAGATTTATTGATCTCTTTGTAGGAGTGAAAGTATGTGTCTGCCATCAACCAAGGGCATTCTCTTGGAGGGCAAAACTTGTTACAATTGCTTCATTTACCATTTCTGATTTATTTTCATGACAAAGATGGCGTCAGTGAAAGCTGCAAAAATGTTTATCAGTGGTCATCCGAAATGTACTTAGATCTGACTCGTTGAACAATTTGATTTTCTGGTAAACATGATTTATTTTAAAAAAACCTTTTTATAGTGCATATATAAAATAAATGTTTTTTCATAATTTTCATCGTTGTACTTGTTGTTTGAGAAGGGAACAAGTCGTCCTATTGTACCATAATTTCATAGCGGATGTTATTCCACTACAAGAGATTTAGTATTTACTGCGGTTTTTACCTAAAAGAACTGCCGAAAATTTATATCCACAAAATACATTGTCTCCTTTATTTCACTAAAATTTATATTTCTCTCTTTTGCCATGCTAATATTCTAGTGTGAAAGACCTTTAAAATTAGGGTGTCATTTTGTTGTTGAAGATGAGAGTAGAAATTACCTATTGTTGATCCCATGTTTGATCGAGAGGTTTTGCACTTTCAATGTTAAGAGTATATACTGCATTCTCAGTTTCAGTGGGCTGCCAAGGGTAATTACAGGCTCATCACTCATGGTTTTGTTCCTCACAGTCACAGGGGTATTCTAGTCCTTCTACATGTGTATGTAACTTTATTTCATTTGCTGGGAATAGTACATTGCACCACATGAGTTACATACATATATATGCTAATATAGATAGTGTGCTGATGTGTGTGACATGTGTACCACTAAAGGGTATTTCAGTAATTGTGTCCATATTCTAGAAGATATCTTGGTCACTCCATATTGTTGAGACAATTTGGAACCCTGTAGTTAGGGGTGACAAAATGTGTCAGAACCCATATGTGTCAAAAATGGGTTGGGTAATTTTTAACCACTTAATTTTAGGGTTAAGATGGGTTAAATATGGATAACCATATTCAACCCATATTTCATCCATCACATAATAGACACACAACACACATCTATTCTATATGACATTCAACTCATTTCTCTCTCTCTAAAATTCTCTCACTAATGATCCTCTCTCTCTCTAAATTTGTCTCTCATCAATCCCCTAAGTTTTTCTCTCTAGAAATTTCTTCTCTTTCCTTCACTAATCTCTCTCTAAAACGAGTCGATAAATATTGCTGAGTTTGAGATTGTTTTTTTTATTTGTTATTAAATAAAATTTTAAAACCTTCCGAAAAAAAAAATTAAAAATAAAGTAAAATAAAATAATTAAAAAATTAAAATAATAGTTTTAAATTTTAAAAAATAAAAATTTTAAAAATAAAAAATTTAAAAATTAAATAAATAAATAAATAATGAAAAAAATAATTTAAAAAATAGTTAAAAAAATAATAATAAATGGGTCCATTGGTCATAACGAGTTGACCCTATATATTTTAGACCCGCCCATTTTCAACCCGTTCTGAACTGGTTGAATATGGGCATTGACCCATGTTTGACCTGTCAATTTTCAACCCAACCCAAACCCGGCCCAACCCACCCATTTGCGACCCCTACCTGTGGTGAAAGTGCATTTTGATATTTGTCTTTGTTCTTATGATAAATGTTATCATCTCTAAGATATACATCAAGTGACAGCAAAGGTATTTATGGAAGTTTGTATATGAAATGTGTTGCATGAATATACCACTGCCACGTGGTTGTGTGGTCTTGCAGAGAGAATGCTATATACAGAATTCATTGGCTAATGGTGAGCAAACCGTATCCACACTAGGGTTTTCTGTGTGGTCCTGCAGAGAGAATGTTGTATACTGAATTCATTGGCTAATGGTGAGCAAACCGTATCCACACTAGGGTTTTCAATGAAGACTATAAAGGTGCAGTTATAGAATTCTTTAGTGTATGCCTCTTTGAGTGAAAAGCAAGAAGCTTGTAGCTTTTGTGTGAGGGTTTTTCGAGGGCTGAATATACACAAGGTTTTCTGAGAAATTATATGATGATTTGAGCTATAATGATTCTCAGAATTCTGCCATAAGAGAGCACATGTGAAGTGAAGAACAAGGAGGTGCTGTGATGTTGATTTTCTGGTGCAAAAGGAGGTTAAGGTGGTTCAAAGCTGCTGTGGCTACTTGTGGAGCCAAAACAAAGTTTGAGTAAGTGTAACTTGATGATCAAACTAGGTTCCCACAGCCTTAACACAGTCAAATACACTTGCTTGTATGGAGAACACAAGTAGATAAGCAAGGTAGATCAATAACAGCTCCCAAAAGGCTCAAACCCTAAAAACCAAGGGTAAAAGTGACACTTCACAATGCAGCTCCAAGAATGGCCTGCAATGGTCTTCAACAGCTCTATATAGCTAATATACACTTGCACACATATCAAACTCAATAGTCTCTGCAAGGTAGAACAAATTTGGTTCACAATGGTCTTAAACCCTAAAAGCAAGAGCAACCTGATAACTTCACAATGCAACTTCTGTTCAGGCCTGTAAGTGGCTCCCACAGCTTTGTATCTTCAAAATGATAGCTCACAGTAGGTGTATTTTGCTGCACTTGTAACTTTCTGGTTTAAGGGTAAAACTGTCAAAATCTCTTCAATCAAAGGTTCCCTCAGCTTGATATTAATGGATTTCGCTTGTTCTGAAGCTTGGACATGGTACACCAGCAATGAATCAACAATGTATAGCTCAAAAGGCAGCAAAATAATTGCTAACAGCAGGCTTATTTTTCTGCTACTGTAATTTTCAGGTTTTGCCGTTTTGGGGGTACTTTTGTAATTTCGTGGCTGGTCCTTCTTGAATCTAGCTCCCACAGCTTACATTCATCACATTACACTTGCTCAAGTCATCACATCTTAGTTTATAGCAAGTTAATGTCAAATCATAGGTCAAAGTAGGTTTCTCAGTTTGTTTCTGCAGCAGCACGGTTATTAGGGTCTGAAATGTAATTTTACAGCAGCAAAGCCCAGCCAATGATTCTCTTAATGATATATTATCAAAATACAGTTGCTTAGATTAAGAACACTGCAATTACACACAGGTATTGCACTCACAGCGCACACAGCAGACATGAACAATTAAACACACCTTAGTTTGTGAGGTCTACCAAACCAGAACCTGAGATGGTCATTCTCTTGACCAAATCTCAACTTGATTAGCTTCAAATCATTAAGTCAGTCATGCTTAGATGATGAACATTCAGAGTATAGTATGTTTGTGTCATATTTAGTTCAGTTTCAGAGGTATAGACTAGAAAATCAAGCTACAATAGAGGTTTGAGATATGAAAATGGTTACTAGCTTCAAGATGTAATTTCAGGCACCTTCTGCAGATGTAAATCACCAAGTTACACTTTCTCAAACTTTGTTTTGGCTCCACAAGTGACTTTGAACCACCTCAACCTCCTTTTGCACCAGAAAATCAACATTAAAGCACCTCCTTGTTCTTCACTTCATCTGTGCTTTCTTATGGCAGAATTCTGATAATCATCGTAGCTCAAATCATCATATAATTTCTCAGAAAACCTTGTGTATATTCAGCCCTCGAAAAACCCTCACACAGCAGCTACACCTTCTTGCCTTTCCACTCAAAGAGGCACACAATAAAGAATTCTATAACACCACCTTTATAATCTTCATTGAAAACCCTAGTGTGGATAAGGTTTGCTCACCATTAGCCAATGAATTCAGTATACAATATTCTCTCTGCAGGACCACACAGCCACGTGGCAGTGGTATATTCATGCAACACATTTCATATACAAACTTCCATAAATACATTTGACTGACACTTGATGTATATCATAAAGATGATAACATTCATCATGAGAACAAGGACAAATATCACAATGCATCTTCACTACAGGGTTCCAAATTGTCTCAACAATATGGAGTGACCAAGATTCCCTCTAGAATATTGACACAATTACTGAAATACCCTTTAGTGGTACGCATGTCACACATCAGCAAACTGTCTATATTAGCATATATATGTATGTAACTCATGAAAATAAGGCCTGTGGTGCACTGTACAATTCCCAGCAAATGTAATAAGGTTGCACACACATAAGAGTGTATTACCTAAGTTGGACTTATCAAAAAAAAAAAAAAAGGTTACACACACATGTAGAGGGACTAGAATCCCTGTGACTGTGAGGAACAAAACCATGAGTGATGAACCTGTAATTACCCTTGACGGCCCGCTGAAACTGAGAATGTAGTATACTCTTGACATTAAAAGTGCAAAACCTCTTGATCAAACATGGGATCAACAATCTCCTCCTTTTGCACTTTCATATGTTAAAAAACCTTTCATCCATTTCTCCCCCTTTTTGACATTGGAAGTCAAAAGGTGGATGGGATTAACAATGAAGGACGACATGTCCCAATTGAATAGTATCAGAGCAGATAGGGTACAAACTTTGTAGTAAGAGATAGGAGAATTCTAAATTAGGAGTTGCCAAAATAATCAACATACCTGCTGGTTTGTTTTGCAGGTCCTTATCTCTGAGTGGAGAAGGCCTGAGATTAACCCTTGAGTATATCCAATATAGGAAGTGATATCCAATAGCTTTGAAAGACATAGGTGCTGGATTTCTAAGATTCTTGCTGAATATATCCTTTGAAGAGATGCAATAGAATGATTCAGTTGTCAACTTGATCACCATACCTGCAAGATTGATTTGCAGGTTCTTATCTTTAAGTGGAGGAGGTCTTGAAGAATCAATTGAACTTGATGAGCTTTGAAGTTGAGAGTCAATGTCTGAAATTGTCTTCTTTATCCATGCTTTGACTTGAAGACCATTTGCTTTGAAGTAGCAAATAGTTTTTGATCTTGAAGGGACTGTGTTGATCCTGAAATTTGAATGCTTTGACTTACTCACTGAGCATAGCTTATTTGGTTTACTGAAGAGGTTAGTGAAAGATGGATTGTGAACCTCTATGAATTTAACTTCTGGTGATTTTTGTCCTTCTTCAATGTGAACTTGTTTTGACAATTTCATATCCCCTTTCTGAGATCTGTGTCTTCTCCTTAGAGGATTATCAACTGACTTGATGAATTTGAAGACATCAGGAGGACTTTTGTGAACAATGATAGCTTCTTCTTCTTGATTGACAACTGAATGAGTCTGTTTTGTAACAGAACTTCTGTGAGCATTATCAATTTTCAGTGTTAGTCTAAGATCATTTTTCAAACCCTCTTCAGATGGATAAGAAGTGGGACACCACTGATGCATCTTTCTGCAATTTGCAGAGCTTCACAATGAGTGTTTTGACCTGACCTTGATTAGGTAGCGAGCTGCAAATGAGAAGGAGCACATAACAGTTAGATTGGCTTTGAATTGATCAAGAGATACAATCCTTAATGACTGTGAATTGGAGTCCTGGTTATCAACACTATCTTCAAGTGTGATACTTTCTTCAGAAGGTACATCTTCACACTCCATTCTGACTTGTTGCTTCAATGGTTCTCCAAGTTTTAGACATCCATTTAGAGATCAAAGCTTTCTTTGGACAACTCAGAATAGAGTTTCCTTTTCTGTTCACAAAGATGCCTTGAGTACAGATATCAAGGATCTCACAATTAGACAGACTGTGTGCTAATGTATCAAGAGCAATGGACATCCCTTTGGTACTTCTGATTCTGACAGATAGTGGGTAACCTTCCTTTTTCTTAAGACATTGCAACATTGAACCATTCTTCTTACTGTCATACTCTTGCAATCTGCACCTTTCAGAGTCCCATCTTCTATGTCTACAATAAACCACATTTTTAGCTTGACCTTTCTTCTTGAGTTTAAGGATGTAGAGATCCTTTGCAATGCAGTCAACTTTAACAATAGAACCTTGTTCAACCTTGCTTTCACCTGTCAAAAGTGCTATAGACCTTTCTTTAACAATGTTGTTCTTCCACAATGCTTCCTTTGATCTGAGCTTCACTATGTTACAAACAACAAGTGAAAAAGAGATTAAGACTAAGAGCTTAGACTTGAAGTCTTCAACACAAGTGTCTTCTTCAGCTGCTTCTTCTTCTTGAATAAGAGCTTTTGTATCTTGAGTGATCATACCCTTGGTTGTCTCTGATGCTTCATAGTCTTCTTGAAGTGTATATTCTATCCTAAGTAAGTCCCACACATCCTTGGATGATTTACAGCCCTTGACCTTCATAAGATCATGATGATTTAGACCACTGAGTATAGTATGTTTTACCCTTGAATCACTTGACATATCATCTTCATTAAGCATGGATACTCCCTTGGTGGCAGCATACCACACCTCATATGACTTTGAGATAAGATAGGCTTCCATTTTGATTTTTTAAGTATCAAAGTTTGTACTATCAAGACATGGGGCATTGTCAATGTATAGACCTTCCATTATGTTCCAAGAATCTTTACTGCAGGCTTTTTAATGCCTTGGTTGTGCAGACCAAGGCTTTGGTACCATTCAATTGTGACATGTTGTCCTTCATTGTTAATCCCATCCACCTTTTGACTTCCAATGTCAAACATGGGGAGAAATTGATGAAAGGGTTTTTAACATATTAAAGTGCAAAAAGGGGGAGATTGTTGATCCCATGTTTGATCAAGAGGTTTTGCACTTTCAATGTCAAGAGTATACTACATTCTCATTTTCAATGGGCTGCCAAGGGTAATTACAGGTTCATCACTCATGATTTTGTTCCTCACGGTCACAGGGGTATTCTAGTTCTTCTACATGTGTGTGTAACCTTATTACATTTGCTGGGAATAGTACATTGCACCACAGGCCTTATTTTCATGAGTTACATACATATATATGCTAATATAGACAGTTTGCTGATGTGTGTGACATGTGTACCACTAAAGGATATTTCAGTAATTATGTCCACATTCTAGAGGGTATCTTGGTCACTCTATATTGTTAAGACAATTTGGAACCCTGTAGTGAAGGTGCATTGTGATATTTGTCCTTGTTCTCATGATGAATGTTATCATCTCTGAGATATACATCAAGTGGCAGCCAAAGGTATTTATGGAAGTTTGTATATGAAATGTATTGCATGAATATACCACTGCCACGTGGCTGTGTGGTCCTACAGAGAAAATGCTGTATACTGAATTCATTGGCTAATGGTGAACAAACCTTATCCACGCTAGGGTTTTCAATGACTATAAAGGTGCTGTTATAGATTTCTTTAGTGTGTGCCTCTTTGAGTGAAAAAGCAAGAATGTTGTAGCTGTTGTGTGAGGGTTTTTCGAGGGCTGAATATACATAAGGTTTTTCGAGAAATTATATCATGATTTGAGCTACAATGATTCTCAGAATTCTGCCATAAGAGAGTACAGAAGAAGTGAAGAATAAGGAGGTGCTGTGATGTTGATTTTCTGGTGCAAAAGGAGGTTAAGGTGGTTCAAAGCTGCTGTGGTCACTTGTGGAGTCAAAACAAAGTTTGAGAAAGTGTAACTTGGTGATTTACATCTGTAGCAGCACTGATTTTGGTGATTTACATATGCAACAGCACTGATTTTGGTGATTTACGAAGTTTGGTATCAAAGTTTGAGCAAGTGTAACTTGGTGGTATCTATTTTCATATGTTAAAAACCTTTCATCCATTTTGATCATCAAGTGAAGCTGCATTGTGTTTTGACAGATTTATCCCTCTTGTTGCAGTGATATGTAAACTAGGGTTTCTTGTGTTGTTTACTTAAGGCTGTGTATTTCATTCCTACATTGTGCAACAGCTTAAGTAAGTTGTATTTGGTGTATTGACACCTTATTCTTTTGTTGATAAAGCTATTGAGAGCTTTAGAGTCCAAGCAAGGGTGCTGTGGACTGGGGGAGTGCATGAGTGCACATTGTCGAGCTTGTGTTTGTGTAGTGGCTGTGAAAGTCAGTGTCTTAACTAGTATAAGGTGTGTGTAGATAGTGAGGCAGCTGAGTGAGTAACTACATGCATACAGCAAGTGGAGATGATGAGCTAGTGTTTGTGTAGAGGAGGTGAAAGTCAATGTCCTTACTAGTATAAGGTGTGTACAGAGAGTGAGACAGTTGAGTGTGTAACTACCTACATACAACTAGTGAATGCTTTTATTGGCTGAGGTCAAGAACCAAGGTTTTTCCCTATTGAGAGGGTTTCCTTGTATACCTTGTGTTCATGTGCTTTGATTGACTTCATTGTTTATATCTCCTATGTTCAACATGTTTGAACTCAAGTGAAAAAGGAAGAAATTAACTTAGACCAATTCAACCCCCCCTTCTTGGTCCAACACCTATAAGTGAAGAGGATACATACATATTTCTTGATTGGTCATACCTTATCATGTAACTTCCAAATGCATGATGTTCAACACGTATTTTGTATTTTATTCTAAATTAGGTTATAGTGCTTAAGTAGTGCTTTTTACTTTAGTATTTTTTATTTTTTATTTTTTACATGTTCGCCCATTCCTATCTTTGCACATTGGATGAAAAAAGGGAAGGTTTCCAACAAGGTTATGAACCAAGGGCATTCTAGTGAGCATCTTTAAATTAATTTATGTTTTATATCTTAAATAATTAGAATAATGAGGTTTGCCTCCAAAAGATGTTTTGGAGTCTCATTCACAGATCAAAAGTCCAAAGCTTTGGGCTTTCTTGTCATCATAGAACTTATAGACTATCTCTACCAAAAATGCCCTGAACTAAAAAAACCCAAGGAGATCCAGAAAGGGAAGACATAGAGAAGGTTGGAATCAGCAGTACGATAGAAAGAAAATTGTAAATCTGCTAATGTAATACAAATTTAAGTCTTTGTGTTATAAAAACAAGTCATTTGCTTTGGTGTCTTTAACAAGTCTTGCTCCAGGTACCTAGAGCAGTCAAGATCCTTGGCTTTGTTAAAATAAGGCGAAACCAGTTTTCTCAAGGCCCTGATGGGTGGCCCCGTAGCTGCACACATTGGAATTTCAAACCTATAAAGAGGTTTGCTGAGATGTCTTAACAGTTAGTATACAAACAATTAATATTGCTTGCTTAATAATTTATTTTTAATTAGAGAAACACTTGCTTATCTTTGTTTGTGATAGGGAATCTTTTCAGAGCCAAGACCACCCTCATAAGATTTTGCTCACCATGGTGTTTTGGTCTACGGATTTGGGACTGATGCGTCTCTCATTGGGACTATTGTTTATTATGGTAGTAGAAGTTTGAAATTTAAAACATGAGGAACTTGTGATGAAGTTTGAGAACATCAATCTTGTTAGTAAAACCATGTCAAAGTGGTATTAAATCTATTCAACCATCAATACTTATCTTATAAATGAAAATTTTCTTCCAAATCATTTTCTACATTTTACATTTTAAACTTGATCTTAATTCACTTTTTTCAATAGCCACTCCCTAGATTTTTATTTTTTATTTTTTATTTTTATTTTTTTATTTTACCTTTTTTTCTTCTTCTTTAATTCAAAAGTTTGACCATTTTAACCCAACCTAAATCTAATGCATATAAATGTAATATATGCCTTTAAAAAATAAAATGAACCAAGTCCAAACCCATGCCTAGATTTTGAAACCGACCTATATAAACACGTTAACCACATCTCATATTCTCATCTTAACCCCAATCACATCTATCTGAACCTAGAAACATGCTCTCTTCTCTCCATTTCCATTCTCACAACCCTAGCTGCCCCCTCTCCCAAAGCACTCTACGATCACAACAGCGGTAAAAGCCATAAGAAGCCGACATCACGGCAAAAGCCCTAAGAAGCCGTGTCACTGTATCATTTACTGGTATTTTTCTCTCTCATCTGGTCTCACTTCTTTGTTCTCTTCATATTGGCATGAATGATTGAAATAGGTAGTGTGAAAGTTTGAAGATGAAACATTGGGGGAAGATTGATATGAAAGTCAAGATTGCTGGGTATATACTCGTATATATGCAGATTGGATTTTGTTTCTTCTTTTTGTATGACTAGAGCAGCCGAGCTCGCTCATGAGCAGTCAAAGCTCGATCGAGCTCGAGCATCCCTTTGGCTGTGACGAGCCAAGGCTGAACACTCCAAAGCTCGGCTCATTTACAGCCTACTAAGCATACGTACATAATTGATCTACAATCTCTTGATGATTTTTTTAAATTATTATTTTTTCCAATTGCATCTTCTGGTAATCTTTGCTGTGTGTATATTTTTTTGGTTCTGATTGTTTGGTTTTTTGTGGATTCTTTTTAGGAAAGAGAAACTTTAGTCAACATTGAGTTTCTGCTGATTTTTGAGTTTTGGTCATGATATTTTGAAGAATTTATGCATTTTACACTGTTTTTGCAGACCTTTATCTCTCAAGTTTTGGCTTTAACAACTACTAATCTAACAGTCATCAAGCATTATGCTGCCTCAGTTCTCAGGTAGTTTTTTTTCACTACTATTCTTACTTTTTTTTTTCCCTTTAATTGTCATTTAAGGTCTACTATTTGTGATTGTGATGCTAGCTTAAGTCATCAATAAAAATACTTCAACTACTAATGTCCATATTTTAAAAATAAAATTTCCCCTCAAATTTTAGGTTTACTTGTTGGGAAGAGAAAAAGGCTGAAATGAGTGGATTCGGAAAAGAGAGGTATGTTTTCTTGTTGTCTTTCTCATGTATTTGAAATATTCCGAACACCATTTGCATTAATTAATCAAGCCTTTTTTTTTTATTTTTTATATTTGGAAAAATTAAACTATGACCCTTGCATGAAAAAGTTTTGAATCAAACTCTTCAATAGTCTCAAGTATCAGATATATATATATATATTTTTCCTAGTTGGTACTCACACACACGTCTCTTCTGAGACTTGAATCCCTGACTTTCCTTTGGGAAGTAAGAGGCTGATACCGCTAGGCTACTGGCGCGTTGGTTCAAGTATCAGATATGTTCTATATCTTGTCGATTCGAGCAATACTACATACAGTATAAGCATGTAGCATTGTGGACAAACACAATTATTGATGTGCTTGTAGGAGTGAAAGTATAGTGTCTGCCATCAACTAAGCCCACTATATTTAAGCTTTAATTAGCTAAATATATTTTATTTAGTTTTACTTGCTGTTTTTTCAAGGGATATTTTTTGGTGTAGGAATTTTATATTTAGAATGGGTTTTGGTGATTGTATTATTTCTCTTGAGAATTAAATTTAGCATATGGTTTAAATGTCAATTTTTCAATATTATACTTCCAAACATTTACCCTGAATTTATTTGATCATTTCTTGGTGGTGCTAGAACAAACATAATTTGAGCACTTTCGAGAAAAAAAAAAAAATTCAGTTGTTGGAAGTAGTACATTTATCTCCCTTCTTCTTCTTCTTTATTTATTTATTTATATTTTTCAGTTGCTGAGGCTAGTGGGGATGTGGTCTCTTTTATATATATTTTCTGCCTGGGCCATTTTTTGGGGTTCTGGTTGAAATGTTGTGTGCTCCTCTATTCTTAAAAACTGTTTAGAAGCTAGAAAATTAAATCTTCTGAATAATATGAATTTGTTAATTTCAGGATTTTGAATAATGAGATGAACAGTGGGCAGTAGTGGTTTGCACATGAAGAGATCAAGAGTCGACATTAGAAAGCACTGAAAAGAGAAAAAGAAAATTAGAGAAAAAGTCTGTGCGATCGATCCGGTCTTGAAAGAAGTTATCAGTACAACTTGCTTATGCAACAGTCAGCTGTAGTGGTTTCTTGAGGCTAGGGTGTGGAAGGTCTGATGGTTCAAGTCCCTCCATAAGGGCAAAAGTTGGTGTCTTGAGTGTGTTTTTTGTCGATGAAAAAATATATATATTTATTACTTTTATTGTATATTTGACTAATTTAGATGTATAATTACTTTGAATGAAGCTTTTGGTGTTTATGAGATTTTATTGTTCAGATAATTGCAAAATTTGAGATTTTATTTTATAGATGATTTAAAAATTGAACAAAATAAATAAGGAAGTGTGCCAGACTGGTGGTAAAAGTAAAAAGTTGGCAGTTTTTAAAAAACTGCAGCTGTTTAGTGGTGATTTTTGGTCTGGTAAAATTTTCGAGCTGGAATCGGATTGTTTCCACCCCTAACGTGACCCTACGAGGTATATAAACTACTAACGTGACTCTACAAACTACTTCTATTAAGAGCATCGAGATCTCCAACGGCCTTGCCAAAAGGCAAATCCACTACACTGGGTTTGCAGAAATTGGGCAGGTTTGCGGAAATTGGGCAGGCCCATAACGGCTCGCTGAATAGCGCGAGCCGAAGCCCCAATTTTTTTTATTTCCTGCCAAAACGACTGCTTTGGTTGGAGTGGCTTGTTTTTAAAAAGTTATATAAAATAAGATCTGGCTGCAACAGGGTAGAATGGTTTTTTGGAAAGAAAAAAAAAAACCCAACAATGGGTTATTTTGAGGTTTTTTTTAATTTAAAATAAAATAAAATTCATTAAATAAAAATATATTGTTAGACATTGTTTGTCCAAAAAAAAAAAAATGTTTTCGGCTCCTTAAAAATTTTTTTTGCTTTAATTTTTAAAAATCTTCCACAACCTGCATTTATGTCTGTTAAGATATTGTTTGGCTGACACAAAGAGTGCCTTACTGTCTATAATTTAAAAAAAATAGTTTTAAAAAATAAAATTAAAAATTCATTTCTTTTTTATAAATATTCCAATTCTTACTAATTTATTTATTATTTTTTTTTTCAAGACAAGAAGGGCGAGAATTTAGTAGATTAGTAGTACACGTAGACATGTGCCAACTCCTACCACCTTTCATCTCACATTTCTATTGTTTACCATCCAAGTTACTTTATCTTCTATTTTCTCAATCTTAGTTATAATTTTTAATAATCCATAATGAATAAAGTATTGTTGGAAGTTATTATATCAATTTGTTTTTTTAAATAATTTGTAAAAAATATTGTTTGATTGAAAAATATTCAGTTCGAAAATAATTTGATCATTTTTAATCTTAATAAACCATTACATAATAAAATTTGTCGTTAATGAAATTTAATACTAGTAACATCTTAGAATTAAAAATTTAAAACAGTTAGAAAAAAGTTAATAAAAATATTAATTTTTGTTTTTGGAGAATGAAAGACAGTGAAAGTTGCTAGGCTCTTGAAAAAACTGAAGTAATATTTTTTGAGAAAAAAATTCGGAGAGTTGGTGCAGATGCTGTAAGGAAGCGGTATCAAGGGTTTATAGAATGCAATGAATCAATACATGGAAATAGCAAAAGGATCAATAGTGATTGGCCAAGAGAGTGCTTGAGCGGAGTGTGTGTAAGAGATATGTATACACACACACACATATATAAATATATTGAGAGAGAGGGGTAGGAGCGGAGGAGATGTGGTTTGGTGGTGGAGTTGGAAGAGAAATAGAAGGAGCTGCAACGACATTCGTGAGGCACTTCTCTAGGAAATGCTCACCGAATCTGAGGAGAATCAAACCTAAGGTAACGCCCCAAGAGGCTTCATCCATCGCTGAATCTCTCTAACACATCATCAAGCAGCCCGGACCTCTCTCTGTCTCCAACACTTGGAACCAAGCCAAGGTTCACTCTCTCTCTCTCTCTCTCTACACACACACACACACACACACACACACACACACATATATCTACTCCGAGGAATGAACAATCCAAGTTGCTACAGAATTCAATCTTTTATCATGCTATTTTAAACAAATTAATTTTGTGGGTCATTAAGTATATAATTTAAGATTGAAGTGGAAATGAAGGATGTGACTAGAAAAGCCTTTGAGGAAGTAATGGTGTGCATCCACATTAGGGGACCCTCTTTTGACAGGAACTGCAACCTTTATAGCTTCATATTGGGCCACATGTCTTGCATCTCTGGAAGTCCTAAATTCAAAGACATCTCTTGGCTAAAAAATGTGGTCTTTATTGTAATCAAAAGGTCAAAACTTTCTCTTTGGGATTGTAGACTTGGTAGAAGTAGGAAAGTGCTAGCAGCCCATAAGAACTCATGATTCAATAAAATGTAAGAATTTGAAAGAGGTTTTGAACCTTTGTGTATAATATGTGATGCAACCTAGCGCGGGAGTTAAACCTAGGAATCCAAAGTGAGATTCCTCTATAATTCTTCTTTTTATTTAGGTTTATTTTTACACTTCATTAACTGTTACCAGATCTTAATGATAATCTTGTTGAACCTTAAATACTACTTCAATAAGCCTAATATTTTCCTCAACAAATCATTAGAGCCTAGCAACTAGAACCCACAATGAATGCTTTCTATTTGATGAGCAGAACTTGCCCAAATCAACCTGTACCCTTTCCCATTTCTTTGGCATTCCATAAAAACCCAATCACCAAACTAATATTTGTCTTGCATATGGTAGCATAAATTCCTTATTCTGAAAACCGTGCAACATGTCACTGAAATCTAAGTTGATCCTGGCCCCTTATGGACAAACTAATTCAGTCATTTCGGTTAAAACATTCCCTTTGGGAAAGAAAACGAAGCACACAGGAGCCTGTTTCATTTTGCTTAAGCTTTGTTCCTGTTCCGGCATATTTCGTTGTTTTGGAGTAATCTATCTGGTTTGGACTGAAACCACTAATTCAGCCAGTAAAAATTGTAAGAATATATATTGAGTATTCTGGAAGTTCTCAACGTCTGTAAGGGCATTCAATGATTAAGTGGTAAAAAATATTATAAGGAAAAAGGATCAAATTAGTGCTTTGAGCTCCCAGTCTATTGTTTCACTATATCGTTGGTCAATTGGGTTCTCTTCAAATATACTGCAAAACATGGGTTCTCTTCAAATATACTGCAAAACATCCCGAAGGATACATTTGCACAGACTGATATATGCAATCATTACATTTTTACATACACGAATTGATATTTGTTGTTTTTAGTATGAAATTGGGTGATTGTTAATTGACTCAAATGTGATTAATTTGGTGATTGCTGCTTCAATTTGCTTTATTTGACATAACTATTCTTAATTTATGCAAAAGGAGTTCAAATATACTCCTAAGGTTATTTTTGAACTTAGGAGGTAAGGTTGTATTTCGTCTTCTTTTTGTTTATATTACATCCTTTATTATATTCCATTATTTGCATGAATACATGTGTTTGATAAATAAATATTTATTTTAGAACGATAAATATGCAATGCTATGCCGAAACACTCTGGTACTAATTTATGTTTCAATTGACCAAAATAAAATGCCAACTGAATGAAATTGATTAATATAGTTAAAATCCAAACTCTAAAAGCATTCCATAACCTGAAACTGAAACCTTCCATAAACCAATTGTAGTCTGCCCTATTATACCATACCAAGTGCTGTCCTGCATCAAGTGGTTTTAACCTTTCAGCTTTAGAGGAGGGGGTGGGGGTTGGGGTGGCGTGTTTGGGTGGAGAGGGAGATTATAGTTTGGATCCCTATCTCCAAATTTATTTTGACTTAGTATTAACGTCTTACATGAAGAAATGATATAGGCAATTCCCACAAATAGAATATTGTAATGATGGGAAAAGCAAAATCTATAACTAGAACAGAAAAAAAAAATAAATAAATACCACTTCTATGCCACCACCTTACCCTTAGGTTGTAAATGAGCCTAGGTTTTTTATACTCTTGAAAGGGTGTTGATCCAAGGAGATTGGTGAAGATTTTTACCCTTGTAACACCTAGCAGATGCTTTCTAAGTTTGGCTATGCTCAAATCAGCCCTAAACTTGAACTGAACCCATAAAACTATGTAGAAGCTCAGTTCACCAATTTTGTACCAAGTTCAGCATCAACTGGACTGCTCTCTACTTCACTCGCTTAATGAAACAATTTAATCTTGAGCTTCACAATCATGTGAAACCCAATCTTTAATTAGGTTTAGATCCAATGAACATCAAAGGATAAGAGTTTTTGTGGATGAAGTACTTTAGAAAGTGAATGAGATATTTGGAACAGAAGGATTCAAAATCCACTTCTAATATACCCAAAATTTTCACATCTCTTAGACTAAAACTTCTACATCTAGGTGTTCCTTATTCAAGCTCAGTTAAGACAATAGAATTTGTATTTTTCATCATTGTTTAAATACAAGGTTTAAATGAAATTCTCTCAACCACGATTCTTTTAGAAAATAAGCAAATTTTATCATACATACATAATTAAACCAAGATAAATAAAACAATAAAATCTCTGTCCTTGAGAGAGAGAGAGAGAGAGAGAGAGACCCTATTGCTTGCCACAACGTGCCACATGGCAACCATTTACTAGGGGGTTTAAAGGTGGTGGTGGTTTTTTAAGTCATGAAAAAGTGCTCCTGGAGACGGGGCTGACACCATTAGTAACGTGCCAATAGACTACACCAAAACAAGCATAATGAAGTCATCGTTGGTGGTAGCACTGCTTTTGGACCCTGAGCCCATTGGCCTCTAGCTAGCAGATCCATGCCTGAATGAGAGAATGGAATGAAATTGTGGGACACTTGTCTATTGACAATGTGTTGTCATTATGTTGGTTGTTCTTCACATGTTCTTAGACCAGAATTGATCCCTTGTACAGAAAATTCTACCCTCCACTTATAAGCAAGTGATCTTCTCTTTTCACCGCCTTTGTCGAATGGATGATACACTTTATCCAGTCTCTTTCCACTGCTTCCCTCATACACCCTTTGAGTCCTTGCGGAATGGAGTGTAAGAACCCATACATACATATGGTGACTTTGTTGAGGAGGTGACTAGTCATGGTGCTTTGTCCCTCTAATCTTTTGTTTGGGACCCCTCACATTAATCACATTGTTTCTTGGGAAGTTTGATTGAAATTCTATTTGGTGAGGAGCTTCTCAAGAACTGTTGGATAATTATCTTTCATGGATCCCTATAATTAAGCAAAACACTTCTTCAATAATAATC